GGAGACGAAAGTTCCGAAAAGTCTTGGAGACGAATGTTCCAGAGACGAAAATTCCGGCACTCGTAAAATTTGCTACAAGATACTAGAGGAATGCAATAATAAATGTACTAAAAACTAATAAATGTACAAAAATTGTACTAATAAATGACTAAAATGTACTAATTCTCTGAAAGATGGGTCCATTGTATCTTGTAGAAACTTTTATTGGCTAGTTGTCGAGTATGAAATAAAATTTCAAAGAATTTTTTTTGCAATTTAGCTACTTCCTAAACGGGTGAATTTAAAATTAAAAATGGATGTTTATTTCTTTAAACCTGATGAATATGAACGTTTATATAATTGTAGTTCTTATAGTGTTGACCAAATACCTTTGGAAAAACGTAGACATGAAAGGCTTGGAATTTTTTTCTTTACTATCGGCACAATTTGTGAGGTGATAATTATAAGTGTTAATTTTATAGAGATGTCAAGATCTTAACGCGACCCCAAGGTTTTGATACGATTTTCGGTACTAGCTTCCATTACTGATTGCTAGACATCCTCCTACATATTTTATGCTAGATAAGCCGAATAAAATTGGGGAATTTAATATTAAAAACGTTAGATTTTCGATATCTCTTCTTTAGTCTTTTGTTTGTTATATTGAGAATCTAAACGAAAAATTATTTTTTCTACATCAGATTTTATATATCCCCTGTATGTTCTCAATATGGAAAAGAATGAAAAATAGCCATTGCTACAAAATAATGTTTTGTATCGGTGTTATTGATATGTTAACACTTTTGTGTAATGGATTGTTGACTGGTTATTTGGGTTATTATGGTTATGTTTTTTGTTCCTCCCCACGTTTCATTTATATTGCTGGGGCTTATGCATTAGGTAAAATAATTAACAATTATTTTAAATATGTATGTATGTGAATTATTAAATAAGGTTGTTGGTGTGCTGAATCAACAATGGAGGTTGTTTTGGCTATAAACCGTTGTGCTGAACTTTGGTCAAATGTTTTGGCAGACAAATGGTTTAGCGGTAATCATAAAACTGATGCAAATAGATACGGATAATATCCGGATACAGTAAAAATTTCCAAAAATTTTCTAAATATGTGGAATTCCCCAAATATTTTCCAATATTGAGTGAAGAATGGTCCCAGACCCGTATCCATTATCCTAAAGCTATTATAAATGAAAATTCCAAATTTTTTCAAGGTAAAAAGTTGATTGTTTGGATAGGAATTCCAGTGATTTATGGTTTTGCAATGGCATTCTTTACAAAGCCAGTAGCTTTCAGTAGTATGTATTTTGGCTGGTTTTTTAATCCACATCTGTTATACATTGAAGATACCAATGAAACAGTATGTTAAATTGCAAAAGAGATAGCTATTTAATTATTCCGGGGCTCCTCATATTGATGTAGTATTTGTGATTTGGACAATTTAAGGGAATATCAAGGGACTTGTATTTGATGTTAAGAGATCAAGAGGGATATCAGTGGATATCGAGAGATATAAGTGGATTTTATGGGATTGAGGGGCATATCGGAGAAAATTCCAAACACTGCTCGTAAACTCAGCCCCCGCCATCGAAAGTTAAAAGCAAAAAATATAAAATATTATTTTAAGTATGAGAATTTAATCAGTTGTACACATAATAATATAATATTGGCATTATTAGTGATTATCTACAGTATGTTTTACATCATTTTGTTAGTTAGATCCAAAGGTAGAGAACAACCAATTAATCAGCAAACTTTTTCAGAAAAATTGGTTTATAAATAAAATAATTTTTAGAGACATGCCTTTTTATTTTAGATATTCCTGCAAGTATTTTTGATTAGTCTAACTAATGCTACAGCTGCTTTTATTTATTTTTATATGCAATATTTCAATGTTAACGAGATGTTGATTATACTTGGCCATTTTAGTTGGGTTAATGCTCATGGTAAGAGTAAAAAGTGAAATAAATGGTCAGGATTTTTGGGAAATTCCCAAAGTTAGTAGAAAAATATAAATTCAAATTAAAAATTAGTTTTTATTTCCCCCACTACCAATTCAAATTGGAAAAAGGTGACAATCTGAGAAAACATGAGAGGAGGTGAATGAATAATTGGTAGGAATGGATGAGAAAAGATGAAAGGTGAACGAACAATGGGCTCCGGTACAAAATACCGAATCGTTAAAATATGGAATGGTTAAAATATCGAATCGGGTAAAAAAGGGTTAAAATATCGAATCGTTAAAATATGGAATGGTTAAAATGTCGACCCGGCCAAAATGGGTCAAAATGTCGAATTCCTTTAAAAAAGGGTCAGATGAGGGTCATACGTTGATTGTTGATATTTATCAACTTATCAACTTACTGCTGATAAGTTGGGGTTAAACTACCGAAAAAAACGGTACGGAATACCTGAGTTCAGTGTATTTTACCGAGTAAAACCGGACCGGATAAATCAAGAAAATCGACCGGATCCGGTCCGGCATGATCGTGCGGATCCGGAAGACAACGCGATTTCTTGATCCGGAAAAATTAGAGTACCGTACCACGGTACGGAATACCGAAAAATACGGTTCACCTTTTAAATTTTATCGGTCGTATTCCGCCCGTACTACCGATACGGAATACGGATAAATACCGAAAAATACCGTCGGTATTACGTTACCGTCCAGGTTCTAGTTTTTAGCACAATTTTTAAAATAATTCGACATTTTGACCTATTTTGGCCGTGTCGACATTTTAACCATTCCATATTTTAACGATTCGATATTTTAACCCTTTTTTACCCGATTCGATATTTTAACCATTCCATATTTTAACGATTCGGTATTTTAACCCCTTTTTAGCCTATTCGCGATTTTAACCCATTTTTACCCGATTCGAGATTTTAACCCTTTTTTAGCCTATTCCATATTTTAACGATTCGGTATTTTGTCCGGACACGGAACAATGTATTGAGGAAGTAATATGTGGAAATAATGAACCTCCTTACCTGATATCCTCTTTAATCCTACAGATCCTCTCATATCTCCGATTTAAGAATTAAGAAGGTGATTTGGAACTTCCGAGATACATCAATAATAGTAATTAACACAAAAGCCATCTTAATCTCCTTTAATTTTTAATATTCCTCAAATCCAATTCCTAATACTAGCTATATAATAAAAGACTAAAATAATTAAGGAATTCCGCCTGTCATTTACTTAACAATGAACAAATCAATCCAACGTGACTGCCTCGAAATGCTTAAGAAAATTATACGAATGGACGTTACTGTACATCCAATAACTACCGGAAGCCACCCGTCATTTCAGCCACGTAATACAGCACAGCAACTTAACCTGCAACCAAGAGCCGTTTTAGTGGCACCAAAATAAATATTACATTTTTTCGCTATATTTCATTTGCATCCTATTTTTCTAAAGATGTACCAAAATTCATACTCGTACCTGTTTACGAAGTATGAGTACGAGCAAAAGGGTACGAGAGACTAACTTCACTCACTTTTATATTTTGTTGGGCTTGGTTCGAATCCACGGTTGGTTAGTGTGTGTGTGTGATTACTGATAGTGATATCCTTTCTGTATCCACTGCCTCATCCTCAGAATTATTCAAAAATTTTGATTTATTTACACACATAAAAACATTGACCATATACATACATATTTCTTCATTTTTATGACTGTGCGTCAAATCTAATAATTTCATTTTTCCGTAACTAATTAACTTTTTTTATCTCTTTTATGTTCTCTCAGTTCAGTTAAAATATACATAAATCAGATTTGGCTCAGGGAAAAATAATTAAAATATTGTTTATTTAAAATGTTACTAAGAACCAAATCTGATACTAAGTCTAAAAATATTTTCAAAATAATTAAAAGGACTTAAAAACTAAAATTTTCATAGTTGCGATATATTTTTGTTTAAATAATTGTACATATAATAAGAGTTACCAGCCAAAATACATAATTTACACAAATAAAATAATTATTTTTAACTATAAAATGTCTATCATTTACTAATATTTACCTTATTATTCACACAAATCAAAATTTATAAAAAAAGAATAAATTGTATTTACCAGAGATCCTGCAGAAAAAAAACCAAAATTCTGGATCTCGGGAATTATGATCCCGACCCAAAAAATCGTTGGGCATTCCCGATTCTCGGGATCGAGACGGCAGGATACCTTGTATGTACTACATATTGGTTCTGTGTCCAAAATTGTAGAGAGGATATAGGTAAATAAATAAAAATAACTCATCATATGGTTTTGGAAGGTCAGTCAGTCTATCTACAGCTGCGTAAAAAGTTTCTAGTTATCTTGAAACAGGAAATTTAGACAATTTTGATTTTATATGTATTCCATTTTATTAAAAAAATTTATTCTTTTGAAGAAACAATTTAAAAAATTAGTAAAAATTAACATTAAAATAGGATATAAATATTTATATTCTGTTGAATTTCAAATTGAAAATGGATGTTTATTTCTTTAAACCTGATGAATATGAACGTTTATATAATTGTAGTTCCTATAGTATTGACCAAATACCTTTGGAGAAACGTAAACATGAATGGCTTGGAATTTTTTTCTTCACTATTGGCACAATTTGTGAGGTGATTATAAAAAATAATTTTCTATAGCCATCGAGCTCATTCACTTGATTTGATACATGGGGAATGTGTATTATAAAAACTGTAGGGGTTAACGAACCCTTAGCCCAGGTTAACCCATATATATTGCAAAATGCGGGTAATAGTAACCCCGAGCTATAGGTTAGTTTTTTAATTAATATCTCTAATAGAAGAACACCCTACGAGAGGATCGAAAAATAGAAGCACACATGCTTCTATTAGCTCTTCAATAGGCTAAAAAAAATTCTAAAAATAAATTTTTATAAGTTTTGACATATAGAGCAAAATTTTTGGAGCAAAATTTTTAGAGTTTATTTTTTACTGTTTGCTATATTAAGAATTTATAAGAAAAATTTATTGTTTCTAATCAGATTTTATATATCCCCTGCATGTTCTCAATATGGAAAAAAATGAAAAATAGCCATTGCTACAAAATAATGTTTTGTATCGGTGTTATTGATATGATGGCACTTTTAGATGCGGGAATATTAACTGGTTATTTGGGTTATAATGGTTATGTTTTTTGTTCTTCCCCACGTTTAATATATATTGCTGGAGCTTATGCAATGTGTAAGATAATTAAAAATTATCGTAAATATGTGAATTATTAATTAAGTTTGTTGGTCTGCTGAATCAACAATGGAGGTTGTTTTGGCTATAAATCGTTGTGCTGAGCTTTGGTCTAATGTTTTGGCAGATAAATTGTTTAGAGGTATTCATAAAATAAAACAAAGATAATGTTAATTTTTAAAGGCAAAAAGCTTATTGTTTGGATTGTAGTTCCAGTAATTTATGGGATAGCTTCAGCATTCTTTACAAAGCCCGTAAATTTTAGTAGCATATATTTTAGTTGGTTTTTTAATCCACACCTGTTTTACATTGATGATACCAATGAAACTGTAAGTTATTCCTAACAATTTACCTAATTTATCGAATAAAATTCGATATATCATCAAATCATATACAATATTATGATTTTCGACAAAGTTACCTCGATTCCCGTACAATCTTGATTCTCGTATGACACTCTCAGTTCAATTTCTAATCTATTTAGACCTTAACAAATTATGTTATGAATACTAAAAATGTAAACTTTACATGTCTAATAACTAAGAGTTTAATTTTTATGCCATATTATTCTATAAAATTTACCAAATTATTTGGGATCAGAAAATTAAACATATTTGAAAAAATTATTAAGAAACTTTTGAATTTTGGGCGATAAAAACATGACGGATTAGAAAACACGTTGGTCGAGTTTTATAATTGAAAACAAAATTAAGTGAGTGCCTGAATCAAGGACTCAATCATTTAGATCACTGTCATTATAAGATAAAAGTGTAATAATTATTTTTAGTATGAAAATTTAATACATGCAATACATAATAATATAGTATTGGCATTACTAGTGGTTATTTATATCACGTTTTACATCATTTTCTTAATTAGATCTAAAGGTAGAATACAGCCAAATGATCAGCAAACTTTTTCAGATAAATTGGTTTTTAAATAATTTTTTAAAGAGATTTACTCTGTATTTTAGATATTTATTCAAGTCCTCTTGATTAGTTTAATTCATGCATCTGCCGCTAGTCTTTATGTTTATATGCAATATTTTCATGTTAACGAACTGTTGACTGTACTTGCACAATTTAGTTGGCTTAATGCTCATGGTACGAATAAAAGAGTAAAATAAAGGCCTTACATTAGTCCCAGATTGGGTCGAATCATAGGTCATTCGATTTGTATCGGTGATCTAAGACTCAGGTGCGGAAATGCCTGCGGACATAAATATAGGTTCTTGAAAATTCAAAAAACATAGTGGGAGTAGGCTTTATTTTGAGGGAAAAGTTCGAATAGACAAATTATTTAACCCAGTTGACTATTAATTTAAAAAATCATTTGAAAGTAACATCGGATCTGTACTTCTCAAAGGAAAGGAAATTCAGGAAAAAATGGAAATTTTCCCAGAAATTCCTATCCTTCAGTATAACATAAAATACTTGAAAATAATTTAAGGAATTCCACCAATTATCTACTTAACAATGAACAAATCAATCCAACGTGACTGCATCGGAATGCTTAAGAAAATTATTAGAAAGAATGTTACTGTACATCCAATAACCACAGGAAGCCACCCGCCATTTCTCTCAATTAATGGTACTGCAAATGTTCCTCATAATTTACCACAACAAGCAATTCAATGAAACAAGAACAAGATGAGTAGAATAAAATGATTTGACAATAAACAGATTTCGGTTTTGCGCGGCCGTTGTGGCGCGAGTATAAAATTTCCAAAAAAAAGTTACAATATGGGAATTGTCCATATAAATGTTACAATATGGAAAATATTATCGGTACACCTCAATTGAGTCCGCACGATTGAGTCCCCACGATTGAGTCCGCACGATTGAGTCCCCACGATTGAGTCCCGGCACGATTGAGTCCCCACGATTGAGTCCGCACGATTGAGTCCCCGTTGTATATACCTCAATTGAGTCCCCTAGATTTAATTATATTAAAAAAGATTAAGAGAGATATTTGGGGATTTGGAGGGATTAATGTTAATATCAGGGGACTTGTATGCGACATCGAGGTATCAAGATGGATATTGGTGAATATCAAGGGATATAAGTAGATTTAAGCGGGGATATCGGTTGAATTAAGGCAGATATCAACAAATTCGGAGAGATTAAGATGGATATTGTGGGTTTGGGGATTAGGAGGGATATCGAGAGATTTTTTGAATGATAGCTCATTCGAAAGTAGTGAGTCGAATGACACCAAAATCAACATTGTTGAACAAGTTCTCGCCGAGATATGGGGCTCGAAATGGTGGATTTTTTGGTGGAATTCCATGGGGAATTTTTGTTGCGAAACATTCGAATAAACAAAAAATAGCTCATTCGAAAGGGATCGACGAGATGAGTTGAATAAGACCAAAATCAAGTTGATTGAATGATTCTGAACAAATTTTGACCAACAGAATCTTCGCTGGAAAAACTTTTTGTGCTGCTATGGAGGGTAGGGGAAACTATCTAAATTACGAACGTAAAAACTCCTTCCTAATTTCCGGACTCCGGCAGAATTTACCTGGATACGGGAGAAAATCAAAATGTGAAAAAAAAATAAAAAAATATTTTTTAAAAATTTTATCAAAAAAATTAAAAAAAACCAAAGTCTAGCTTCAATTATTGTGCCAAAGAAGGGCCTTTCTTTCGTTTTTTGTTCTCCTAAGTTCACCACCTTCGTTCCTTCAGAAACTGTGAACTTGAAAATCGCCAGTCAGAAACTGACGAAAATCAACTAAAAAATTTTAAAAATAAAAACGAAAAACAAAATAAAAATTCCAAACCTTTTCAAATTTCCCATCGTTGCAGCCGTGGGATGAAGTCCGACACGTGATGAGCAAAGTTAGACCAACCTGAAATATAAAATCTAAAATTAAAAAATAAAAATTAAACTTTTACCTACACAAGATTCTCGTCCTCCCTCTCGTCCTCATTGAGAAAATTCAGTGCTCGGATGGACTTGAGTGGATGCTCGGTCAACTAATTAACAAAATTAGTTGCAAACCCCAAAAGAAAAACAAAAAAATAAAAAAAAACAATAAAAAAATCTAGGAAAATAAAAATTCCTACCGGGAATTTTTAACGGGGACTCAATTGAGGTATATACAACGGGGACTCAATCGTGCGGACTCAATCGTGGGGACTCAATCGTGCCGGGACTCAATCGTGGGGACTCAATCGTGCGGACTCAATCGTGGGGACTCAATCGTGCGGACTCAATTGAACTGCTCCGAAATATTATTCCAAAAATATTGAATTCTATCACAATGACGGAGATTAGATGATGACTATGTATTCCAAAGACGGGGCACAAAAAAGTTCCAAATATGGGAATTGTACATTGTTCCAACATCGGTAGAAGTTGTTCCAAAGACAGGGGATTTTTCTTTGGGAAGATTTTCCGTTAACGATTGAAGTTGTGGAAAAAGTTGTTCATTCAACAGGGGAATTTGTTTCGTTAACTGGAGAAGGTGTTCTGTCACTCTGTCAACAAGGGAATTTGTTCCTAGAACGGGGGCAATATTTAAATTTAATTCAATATTTTAATTTAATTTTAAAAGTAAGACCAAACAGGCCGCGCCAAAACGTCCCAGTCCCGTTGATGTCGTTTATTTCATGATAGAGCGAATAGCTTTCTTTTTCTTATAGACTAGAGTACGTCAAGTACCGAGTAATTGGGGGAAAAACCGAGCGAGTACCGAGTAATTGGGGGAAAAACCGAGCGAGTACCGAGTAATTGGGTGAAAAACCGAGCGAGTACCGAGTAATTGGGTGAAAAACCGAGCGAGTACCGAGTAATTGGGAAAACCCCGACACGGTTTACACCGGGTCTGGTGAGTATGTATTAAGATATTAGTATCCCCTCCCCCCACTATTAGGATCCCGAGTTCCGAGCCCGAGTGAGGACGAAAAACCCCTAGCGATCGTGTCAAGTAACATCGAACCCGATCGAACTCAGACGTACTCTAGTATAAACACATTTTGAATTTTCATGTTTATGTATAACTTTTATGGAAAATTCTTCAAAAATTCCAGTAACTCATAAACACAAGTAGATAAAGTTACTCAATAAATTTTAAAAAATTAAATTATAATTTTTATTCATTTCCAAACATAAATTCATTATAATTCTGTACTTTTATGACTCTTCGAATATACGTAAAAAAATTGGATTTGATCTACAATTTCATTTTACGTAACTAATTAACTTTTTCTATCTCTTTTATGTTTTCTAAGTTCATTAGCAACAAACAAAACATTTGTAGCATAAAAAGAATAATTAAAATAGGTAGGTATTTAAAATTTTACGACAATGTAAATCTGATAATGAGTCTAAAAGTGTTTTTAAAATAATTAAATAGGCTTAAAAACAAAAAATTTTATACTTTCGTTACATTTTTGTTTAAATAATTTTAAGTGTAAAAGTTGCCATGCCGTCAAGGTAATTAAAGTATTTAATAGAAAATTTAACATTTATAAGTAATTTTAAAGTTAAATTCTAATATTAACTTTAAAAAATAATTATTTTTAATTATTTCAAGTCTGTCATTTACTAATATGTATACAGTAATATAACCGAAAATTTTTGAAAAAAACTTTGAATTCAGTCTAAAAGTATTTTTAAAATAATTCCGTGATTTTTTTATTATAAGTAATTTCCGAGTTCCAACATTTGGCCAGTTCAAATTTAAGATTTCAGATTTCTTATAACTGGGGGTCTTATCACGCGCTGTTTACTCGAAAGGATATAAATGAATAAAAATAACACATTATCAAGTGATTAATTAAGATTAAAATTTTTTGCTAAATTAAAAATGGATGTTTATTTCTTTAAACCTGATGAATATAAACGTTTATATAATTGTAGTTCCTATAGTATTGACCAAATACCTTTGGAGAAGCGTAAACATGAATGGCTTGGAATTTTTTTCTTTTCAATTGGCACAATTTATGAGGTGATTATGAAAGTTAATTTTGAATTGTAGACCTCTTATGAACTGAATCGAAAATTTCTGTTAGCCGGAATTGGAACAATTAACAGAAGATTTCGTTTATCCAGAACCAGGACCTATATCGGAACCGATAATTTCAAGTTATTTTGTCCTTTTGCTGTGCCGGATAACAGGAACAGTTAACCTTAGCAATTTTTGGAAATTTCAAATTTACATTATTGTACTTTGCATTTATATCATTTTCTCTAACTCGTACATATCTGCCTTGAGATAGGTAAAAAATCGAAAAATTTACTTTCTCAGTGCCGCAGGTAAAATTTAGGATTTCCAGTCTTCCTGATATTGGTTACGAAAAATTTATTTTTTCTACATCAGATTTTATATATCCCCTGTATGTTCTCAATATGGAAAAGAATGAAGAATAGTCATTGCTACAAAATAATGTTTTGTATCGGTGTTATTGATATGTTAACACTTTTGTGTAATGGATTATTAACTGGTTATTTGGGTTATTATGGTTATGTTTTTTGTTCTTCTCCCCGTTTTATTTATATTGCTGGGGCTTATGCACTAGGTAAAAGAGTAAAAATTATTTTGAGATCTGAATTATTAAATAAGGTTGTTGGTGTGCTGAAACAACAATGGAGGTTGTTTTGGCTATAAACCGTTGTGCTGAGCTTTGGTCAAGCGTTTTAGCAGATAAATTGTTTAACGGTAATTATCAAAATTCATTAGATTTCATGGGAAAGTAAAAAAATGAATTTAAATTTTTTAAGGTAAAAAGTTGTTTGCTTGGATTTCAATTCCAGTAATTTATGGTTTAGCAATGGCTTTCTTTACAAAGACCGTAGCTTTCAGTAGCATTTACTTTGGTTGGTTTTTCAATCCACATCTGTCATACATTGAAGATACCAATGAAACTGTAAGTTACTGTTATCAATCAACTTAATAATGCCTTATACTTAATAATGACCAATCGTCTTAATATGTTTTATACTCTCAAATAATTCCCCTGGGTAATTATTTTCAACTGAAAGAGTAGTGGTAATAATCTGAAAGAGCGAAAGTAATTATTTGAATGTATACAGTAATTATTTTTAGTATGAGAATTTACTACATTCAATACATAATAATATAATATTGGCATTATTAGTGATTATTTATATTATGTTTTACATTATTTTGCTAATTAGATCCAAAGATCGAAGACAGCCAATTGATCAGCAAACTTTTTCAGAGAAATTGGTTTTTAATTAAAATAATTTCTAAAGAAATGCATCTTTATTTTAGATATTTTTGCAAGTTTTTTTGATCAGTTTAATTAACGCTACAGCTGCTTTTATTTATTTTTATATGCAATATTTTCATGTTAACGAAATGTTGATTATTCTTGGACTTTTTAGTTGGGTTAATGCTCATGGTAATACCTATGTAATAAAAAATGAAATGCATGTTATAACCAGACTTGAGATTTTTAGGAGATAACCAATATATGTTGAAAAATCGAACAAAAATATCCGATAAATCAATTTTAATTACTAACAATGACTACGATATTTCTAAATTAAAAATTCTTAATTTTTCGTTCATTTTGAAAAAATTTGATTTTAAAAATAAAACTCCTATCCCTATGATGTAGTTATACTCAGCATAAAATAATTAAGGAATTCCACCAGTCATCTACTTAACAATGAACAAATCAATCCAACGTGACTGCCTCGAAATGCTTAAGAAAATTATTCGAATGAATGTTGCTGTACATCCAATAACCACAGGAAGCCACCCGCCATTTCCACGTAATGGTACTGAAAAGGGTCCAGATATACCACAACAAGCAATTCAATGAAACCAGAATAAGATGAAAGGACCAATATAAAATCCCTCGGCATATATGAAGATAATATCTGTTTAAAAATTATACCCCAATGATTTACTGAAATTATACTTCTCTCGGTTAATTTTGTAAACTCTTGGGCAATTTATTCTTCGTAAATTTGTTTCTCCCCAAAATTTTCCTCATTATTCTCAAGATATTTGACTAGAATTTTACTAATATTTTAAAAACTAAATACCTAACATACATACATTTTCTAACATAGTCTCTCTCTCTATAAAATATGTACTTCCCCTCTCTTTTCTCAATTGTTTTAACTTTAACTCGACCCCAAAACAAACTATAATCCTTAAATAATTAAAAATAATATCAAATTAATCTCTCTAATTCTACTTTTTAATCAAAAATTTTAATGAAAATATATTAACAAATAATGTTGCCAATAAACAAATAAATTTTAGATTTGTTCTTTTTATCTTTTGTTGATGACGGAAATCCCCCCTTTCTTCGAAAGAAAATAAATAAAATAATTTTTTAAAATTAAATATTTGTTAAATGGAAAATTTTATTATTAATTATATATTAGAGTGTTTAATAGAAAATTTAATTTTATATTAAAGTATATTTCAGTATATAATTTAATTATTTTAAAATATTAAAATAATTAATTATAGACAATTATTTTAAAAGTAAATTTAATTTTTAATGTTCATTTTTTTCAAGAACACGTTATAATTTAATTTGGAAATTAAATTTTCATTCTTTATTTTTATTTTAAATTAAAATTCTTTATATTATAAATTAGAATATAGAACTTTGAAATTTTTAAGGGTTATTTATGACGACTCTCGTTTGCATTATGTTATCACTTAAAAGCAGAATATTTTTAAGTATCACCTTAATAAATATCTAATCCTTCGCATTACCAAACCAATCAAGTGTTTGAAATTTCGGATTCGTGTTCCTGTATTCCATTAAGGACTTATTTCTTTCCCCGTACTCGTCTTTGAGTTGTAGAATTGGTTTTAAATTCCAAATTCCGACGTTTTCTCTTCAAAGTTTCGACATTTGGAACCCCCGCTGTTTATGAAAAAGAATATAGATGAATAAAAATAACATATCATCTTTTAAATAATTAAGTAATTAATTAAGATTAAAACTTTGCCAAATTAAAAATGGATGTTTATTTCTTTAACCCTGATGAATATGAACGTTTATATAATTGTAGTTCCTATAGTATTGACCAAAAAATGCTATCAAAAATATTGAACAATGGGCAACTGAATGGAAATTAAATATTGCTATTAATAAAACATATATCATTTATCTTGGTAAAACTAACCCTAAAGATCAATATAAAATTTTTAATACAACTATAAATGAAGTAGATTCTATACGTGATCTAGGCATCATAATAGATAATAAACTCAAATTTCAAGAACATGTACAAAAAATTATTCGGGCAGCTTATATAAAAATGAATTTTGTGTTTAAAATAATTAAATCAAAATCTATAAAAACATGGCTTACTATCTATAAAAGTTATATAAGACCCTTGCTTGAATACTCTCCTGAAACATGGAATCCACAGCTAAAATCTGATATTATCAAACTCGAAAAATGCCAAAAATTCTTTACAAAAATCTTACTTAGAAAATGTTCACTACCCTATATACCATATTTACAAAGATTGGAATTTCTTAATCTTCCTACTCTTGAAAATCGTCGTAAGACTTATGATTTAGTATTAGCTCATAAAATCCTACACGGGTATACACATCTTAAATCAGATGATCTTTTTAAAGTATCAAATAGAAAAAACTGTTATTTGTTATCTAAAAATCAAACATCAAAATCTTCCAATTCATTTGTTAATAGGGTAACCAAGATGTGGAATGTTTTAAATGATGAACTCAGAACTACAAAAATAACACTTAGTTTTAAAAATAAAATAAAAGCAATACTCATTCAGTAAATCTACAATTTTGAAAAAATATTCTGAATTCTAATTTCACTTACCTATTTGGAAAAAATATTCTAAATTCCAGTTTCACTTTCCTATTAACAAATTAAATCCAAAAAATCTTAGATCTAGAAAATTTTCCAATTTCATCACAAATAGCATCATTCAGAATTGACAGCTATTTCAAGCTCAAAGCCTCTAAATTCTTACAATGTTTAAAAAATCGTAGTAAAATTTCAAAATTTTTCATGTTACATGTCCAAGATTCAAATGTTTATTTTGAATGTTAATTTCTTAGGAAGAAATAAAATGTTATCAACTTTATAAGAAATAAATAAAAAATATTTACTTTATATAAAAAATCCTCTGTTAAACGTAATTTTTCCATTTTTTTTTTTTATGATCAAGTAAAGAATGTAAAGATAATTTATCAAATAGTCTTTTACTTAAATTCATAAATTTCCAAAAATTAAGGGTTTTTTACTAATTGAATATGAACTAAACATATTCTCAGAATTCTAACCAAATCATGTTTACTTAAATGCTTAGAAATTGTAAAAGCAAAAAGTTAGGCAATTTGTTAAAATAATCATAAAAACATTTTTAATGTTTTTAAATAATCACCTATTTTCTAGTATATAGATTTTATTTTTTCTATATAGTAGCTATATATTGTTATTTTTCTTTCCTTTTTAAGTAAACATTTAAATTATAATTTTGAATTATGTTTGGCATTCTGTTCAAAAAAATTAATTTAAATGACAATTTATACAAGCATCTCTTACTCTTTCGCATTCCCACTATTTCTTCTTTTTGATGACTCATAAAATTAAATTTAAAAAAAATTTTTTTTTGTTTTCTTCTCTCCTAATTTTTATTAAAATTTATCTTTTTTTTTGTTTAAAAAGCATTTTATTTTTTTTCTTTTAAGGAAATTTTAAAAAGATATTTAATTGGGTAATATTTTTTTTTGTTGACTAAACAATGTCTAAGCGCAATTCTTCTGAATTCTCTCCATTAAATTTTGCAGCAAATATGACAAACAACGAAAAACGCAGCAAAATTGTTGAACAAATTAATTCTTTAAATTTTGACAAAATTTGAACTATACTTAATCATCCTAGTTAATTAAAATGGTCGGTATAGAGTATATTTATTTAAATAATAAATCGATTATATATAAATTTTTGTTTTTATTTAATTTATTATGACTTTAATTGTTTTTATGCTGTTTTTTATTTTGATTATTTTTATTGTGCTTCACTACGACATTGTTGTCGGATTAAGTGGCACGCCCTTTCGATGACATTTTTTTTTTATGTTAATAAATAAATAAATAAAACAAATCAATCCAACGTGACTGCCTCGAAATGCTTAAGAAAATTATTCGAATGAATGTTGCTGTACATCCAATAACCACAGGAAGCCACCCGCCATTTCCACGTAATGGTACTGAAAAGGGTCCAGATATACCACAACAAGCAATTCAATGAAACCAGAATAAGATGAAAGGACCAATATAAAATCCCTCGGCATATATGAAGATAATATCTGTTTAAAAATTATACCCCAATGATTTACTGAAATTATACTTCTCTCGGTTAATTTTGTAAACTCTTGGGCAATTTATTCTTCGTAAATTTGTTTCTCCCCAAAATTTTCCTCATTATTCTCAAGATATTTGACTAGAATTTTACTAATATTTTAAAAACTAAATACCTAACATACATACATTTTCTAACATAGTCTCTCTCTCTATAAAATATGTACTTCCCCTCTCTTTTCTCAATTGTTTTAACTTTAACTCGACCCCAAAACAAACTATAATCCTTAAATAATTAAAAATAATATCAAATTAATCTCTCTAATTCTACTTTTTAATCAAAAATTTTAATGAAAATATATTAACAAATAATGTTGCCAATAAACAAATAAATTTTAGATTTGTTCTTTTTATCTTTTGTTGATGACGGAAATCCCCCCTTTCTTCGAAAGAAAATAAATAAAATAATTTTTTAAAATTAAATATTTGTTAAATGGAAAATTTTATTATTAATTATATATTAGAGTGTTTAATAGAAAATTTAATTTTATATTAAAGTATATTTCAGTATATAATTTAATTATTTTAAAATATTAAAATAATTAATTATAGACAATTATTTTAAAAGTAAATTTAATTTTTAATGTTCATTTTTTTCAAGAACACGTTATAATTTAATTTGGAAATTAAATTTTCATTCTTTATTTTTATTTTAAATTAAAATTCTTTATATTATAAATTAGAATATAGAACTTTGAAATTTTTAAGGGTTATTTATGACGACTCTCGTTTGCATTATGTTATCACTTAAAAGCAGAATATTTTTAAGTATCACCTTAATAAATACCTAATCCTTCGCATTACCAAACCAATCAAGTGTTTGAAATTTCGGATTCGTGTTCCTGTATTCCATTAAGGACTTATTTCTTTCCCCGTACTCGTCTTTGAGTTGTAGAATTGGTTTTAAATTCCAAATTCCGACGTTTTCTCTTCAAAGTTTCGACATTTGGAACCCCCGCTGTTTATGAAAAAGAATATAGATGAATAAAAATAACATATCATCTTTTAAATAATTAAGTAATTAATTAAGATTAAAACTTTGCCAAATTAAAAATGGATGTTTATTTCTTTAACCCTGATGAATATGAACGTTTATATAATTGTAGTTCCTATAGTATTGACCAAATACCTTTGGAGAAGCGTAAACATGAATGGCTAGGGATTTTTTTCTTATCAATGTCGGCGATTTATGAGGTAAAAATTATAATGAAGAGATGATCCAAGGTATAATATTGAGGTGTAGAACTTAAATTAATATGTAGTATGTCCTCTTATGATAAAACTATGAAAGATTTGTTAGTTAAATATTCCATGAGATTACCGTATAGCCTTTAATAACTACCCTGGGTAATTATTGTTTCGACCTTCCGCTGGAGGGAGTAATTAATCGAGAGAGGGTAATTATACGAGGTTTGAAATTTGAACATGTTTTAGGTCATTTGTTTGGAGTAGGGTTGAGCGGGATCGGGATCCCGGTCGGGATCGGGCGGGATTATCCCGGGTTTTTGGAATCCCGATCCCGATTTTTCTGATCCCGCTCCCGAAATATATATCCCGATCCCGATCCCGGCCAATCTCAATCCCGAGCCGGGATCCGGGATCGGGATCGGGATGTGCATCAGATCCCGTAGCAAATCCCGACTTTATAAATTGACTAGAAGTCTGTGAAATAAAGTTAACAGAAGAGGGGAGGCGTGAAAGCAAGAAAAATTTTCGCCTGCGGCGCGGAAAAAGGAAGAAATTTGGCTTCTTGAAATCCAAAATTCTAAAAATTTTCGCCTGCGGCGCAAAAAAGGGAGTGACTAAGGCATTATAGAGATGCCTTAATCACTGTCTTTAAAATTTTAACGAAATATTGAGCGATTTGTGCGATATCGAGCGAATCAAGAGGGGTTGAGGGGAGTATCGGTGGATTTGGAGTATAGAAGGACATCGGTGAATTTACAGGGATTAAGTTAGATTTGAAGAGAAATCGAGGGCTTAAGAGATATTACTACTTGAGTTTCTTCCCCCCCCCCCCCCCCCCCATTACCTTATCCTCCCTTAATCCCCTGAACCGGAAAGTAAAAAATCTATGAGACTTAAACTCAATATTTCAGCACTGCAGCGGGAAATTTTAGAATTATATTGAGTCGTATGTGAAGAAAATAAAAATTTAAAAGTTTTTTAATTTTTTTAGTAAATCCCGATCCCGATTTTTCAATCCCGGTCCCGATTCGGGATCGGGATCGAGATCGGGATCTCCATTCCAAATCCCGATCCCGATTTCGGCTAATCCCGATCCCGTGTCGGGATCCGGGATCGGGATCGGGATCACCATTCCAAAATCCCGATCCCGGGTTTTTCTCTAAATCCCGATACCGCTTAACTCTAGTTTGGAGTAATTATTTTTTCAATCTATCGCTGGATAGGGTAATTAATGGAAGTGGGATAATTATTTGAGGGAGGGCAATTAATTCAGTTTATACGGTAATTTTCACAAAAATAAGTAATTTTAATTTCCTAAGTAAGTTTCTCTCCTTTCTAAATCCTAAAGTCCTTCACTTTTATTATCAGTTTATCTCATTTGATTAATAAATTAAAGTGATTCCATACTTGATAATTAAATTCAAAAAAAAATCAAAATAGGTCGATTATAGAATTGACTGTTTTCTTTAACAAAAAATTCATTTTTTCTACCTCAGATTTTATATATCCCCTGTATGTTCTCAATATGGAAAAGAATGAGAAATAGCCACTGCTACAAAATAATGTTTTGTATCGGTGTTATCGATATGTTAACACTTTTGTGTAATGGATTGTTGACTGGTTATTTGGGTTATTATGGTTATGTTTTTTGTTCTTCTCCAAAGCTTATTTATTTCTTTGGAGCTTATGGACTTGGTTGTTTTATATTAGGGATGTCATGGGGACACTTAAAAAATTCGTGTTTGTGCCCTGGTTTTGTCATTGGTTGGGATTCTGATTGAAAAAAGTCTCGAGTACCCATGACATCCTTGTTCTATATTTTATATTTTGATAATATCTTGGTTTCTTAGGTTGTTGGTGTGCTGAATCAACAATGGAGACCGTTTTAGCAATAAATCGTTGTGCTGAACTTTGGTCTGATGAATTGGCACACAAATGGTTTAATGGTAAAGAAGGGAATTTAAATGATTTTTAAGGCCTTAATGAGAATTTTATTTTTATCCCAACTTATAGAAATTTTTTATGTATACACAAAATTTCTTCGAAAAAAATTAAAAACATTTTTCACTTTTAAGTAGGGTTTGACCCCGAACGCTCGGGGGCGGGTATGTCGGGGTACGGGGTTTTAGAATTGTTTCGGGGCGGGGTTCGGGTCGGGGGAGCAAAATATGGTCGGGGTTCGGGTCGGGGTACGGGGTTTTAGGAAAAAATTTTTTAAAGAAAAAAAGCACTAAAAATGAGCCATTTTTGGTCTATTTTCGTTAATATATTCACAAATTAATGAGAATAAGGTGGGATTAAATGGAAATAAGAGAAATTGGAGTGATTAGTTGGATCTGGAGGTGATTAAGGAGAATTTGGAGGGATTAAAGCGGATATCTGGGGATATAAGAGGATTTGTAGGGACTAAGGGTAGTTTCAAGGGATATCATTGATTTAAGGGTTATCGAGTGAATAGGGATTTGGAGGATATCAGGGTAACTCTTTCTTTTCTGCGCCGCAGGCAAAATTTTGAGAATTTTATAAGGCCAAGAAGCCAGATTTTTTTTGTTTTTTTGCGCCGCAGGCGAAAATTTTGAGAAAATTGAAAGGACAAGAAGCCAAATTTCTTACATTTCCAGAGCCACAGGCGGAAATTTTTAAAATTTTTTAGGTCAAAAAGCTGGATGTCTTTTTTTATTTTAGCGCTGACCAAGAAAATTTTTGAAATTTTAGCTAAACAAAAAATTTTTAAATTGTTTTTTATGGTTGATAATATTTAAAAATAAGATTTACATTTTAAATTAAAATTAAGTTCTTGATTTTGTAAAGAAAAATCCCAAAACAAAAGAGCCCAGCTTATTTGGATGCGAACTCAATCCTATATTAATGGAAATATAGGCTAAAACCAACAACTAAGCCACTCAACCACAAGTCTCCTAACATAGCAGGACAAAGAATTTTGATATTTCTTTTATTTTTCTTTCAAAAATAATAAAGGCAAAGTAAATTGGGAGTAAATTTTTAAAATTTTTCTCTTAAAATTCTCCCAAAAATGGCATTTTTTGGGTATATAAAACCCCGATAACCCCGAAACTTTTCGGGTCGGGGTACGGGGTTTTCACTTTTTTTCGGGGCGGGGTTCGGGTCGGGGAGAATCGTGAAAAAATCGTTCGGGAACGGGGTCGGGGTTCGGGGTACGGGGTCGGGGTCAAACCCTACTTTTAAGGTAAAAAAATGATTCTTTGGCTCGGCATTCCAACAATTTATGGAATTCTTATGTCATTATGCACACGTCCATTAATTTTTAGCGGAATATATTTTAGCTGGTTTTTCAATCCACATGTCGATTATATTGATGATACTAATGGAATTGTAATTTAATTTTTAATTGTTTATAGAATGGTTTATGGAATTCCTCCTTAATAAGTACGGGGTCCGATAATAGGCATAATTATATCTACAACACTCAACGAAATTTTGAATTTGACCTATAATATCTTTTAGATCAGTCATTCTTCATTGGAAAATTTTCTTTCAAAATTTTAAATATTTTCTGGGATGGTATAAACTTTGTCACATATAATTGAACCTCTTCAACATAGGACTTAACTTTTATTCTATATCAGAGCTTATATTAGGCCTTTTTTAATATTGAAAAATTATTTTCAGTATGAGAATCTAATCCATACAATTCACAACAATATAATTTTGGTTATGTTAGTTGTTACCTATGTAGCTTTTTACCTTATTTTACTTGCAAGATCTAAAGGAAGAAACCAATCTTCAGATCAACATAGCTTTTCTGAAAAAATGGTTTTTTAATTTCTAATTACCGATATGATATTAATTAATTAGATTTTTGTTCAAGTCCTTTTAATTAGTTTAATTAACGCTACTGCTGCTTCAATTTATGTTTACATGCAATATTTCCATGTTAACGAAATGTTGATTATAATTGCACAATTAGCTTGGGTTAATGCTCATGGTGGGGGATTTTTTTAAATAAAATGAATCAAATCAATCTTTCAGTGGATTGATTTGATACTAAATCAGGGTGCCGATTTGTACCTTTTTCAAATACTTTAACTGACCATAACTGACCACTGTTAAAAAAATTGGCGGGAAACTCCTCCCATTTTCTATGTCAGTTAGAGTATTTGAAAAAAGTACGTACTGAAAAAAAGTACAGAATCAGAACCCTGTACTAAATCCTGTGGAGATGGAAACTTTGAACTGCCATAACTCGGCCCAAACTAATTTTTCACAAAATTAGTTTGCAAAATGTTGTGATCTGGTTGCTCACAACAAAGTAAATCGAGGGTCCTCTATCGAATTATACCAAAAAATATATCAAATTTGCACATACAGTAAACAATGTTTCCTCGTTAGTTTAGAGCGAGATCGATTTTCGAGCCTTTTTTGCTCAGATATGGAAATAGAAATCAAAGTTTATTTATGTAAAATAGAAATATTTTGTGTTAAAAACACTTGAAATTTTAGTTTCACAAAATAAATTTCATAAACTTTTTTAGGAATTCCACCTGTTATTTACTTGACAATGAATAAATCAATTCAACGTGACTGTTTATTAATGTACAAACAAATGATTGGAAAATCCGTCTCTACTATATATCCAATGACTGCTGGAAGCCACGCACCCCCACTCTTTTCCCGACACGCAACTGGACATACATCAACAATTAATCCACAAAATATACAAAAGCTTGGAGTGGAGAATTTAGCAAAAACAAATGATATTGCTGCTAACCTCGATGAATGTAATTGAAAAATTAATTAGAATTTATTTGAAAGATTTGTATAAACTCTTAATGTCTGTAAAATTGGATAAAATTTAATTTTTCGGTATAAAATTGTACAAGTATAATAATGCGTGTTATAATTATTCGAGGATTTTTGATATAAAATGCGGTTTTAGCTCAAAATTGTGGATTTTTAGAAATTTGAGATCGGAGCCCTGTTCTAGAATCTTATTAATATTGGATTTGGACATAATAGATTTCTAACAAAGTTATCAATATTTTTGATAATAATAAGAACGACTCAAATATTAAATAATTCTTAATTACTTTTTTTATTTTATTTGCTTTTATCATCACACTCTAATCCTTTATTTCGCCTAGTTTTTGTAAAACATTAGACGACTTTTGCAGATTTTGGATAAATTAAAAAATTAAGACTTTCATAAAAATTAATTTTAAACATTCAAAACAAAATTTATATAGTACATAGAAAAATAAATAACAATAAATATGTAAATAAAAAAATACAAAATTAAATATTCTCTCATTTACTCATTTAATAACCCATCAATAAACTCATCCACCCCTTTCCAAATATCCACTTCAAAGTCGCGCAATACTGCCAAAAATGGCAAAATTAAAGGTTCTAAAATTAAAATAAATTAGTAAAAGATTTCCTTTCTTTACCTAGTAATTCTTTATCTTTAAAAATTAATTTTCTTGTAACTTGACTAAATGTTGTACAATTTATTTTGTAATTCTAAAAAAGAATTTAAGGCTCTATCCGAAAATATGTAATGCCGGCATCCAATTTTTCCTTTCCTCCTCGAATGGGGGAGAGAACGTTAATTTTTCAGATGTAGTATAGTACACCGGTGGCTAACATTTGTCCCCTATGGTTTTTAGATTTTCGGTGGCCTACAATTATCTCGGTCCAAAGCTAAAAGACACCAAAATCACCGTGATTGAATAAGTTTGGACAAAATTACCTTACCATCAGTTTACTATACTACAGCTGAAAAATTAACTTTTTCTCCCTCATTCGAGCAGGAAAGGAAAAATTGGATGCCGGCATTATTTTCGGATAGAGCCGAATTTAATTTAAAAAAATATTTTTACTATTTTTAATTTATTTATTTTTTCTTTAATTTTAAATAATTGAGCATCTGTTAATTTAAGAATTTTTGGTATTCTTTTTGTAAATTCTTTTTCCCATTGATCTTTGGAAAATTTTAGTTCTGTAAATTCTGAATGCCCAAAACATTCCATAATTATTTGTGACTGAAATTTAATAGAAAAATAAGTTGAAATAAACATGGAGAGATATTTAGGAGTGTGCTTTACTTAACTTTAGAATTTGAGAATTTCTCAATTCTGTAGTAGGGTTGGATTTTTCGAACCGGGCCGACATTCGCGTCATTTGTTTCGGGTCTCATTTTTATCAAAAAATTTTTTTCGTGCCAAAATTCGAGGCCAGGTTGGATCTTTATAACCGAACCGGGCCCCAACCCTAAGTACCTATGTATATTCGCAATCAAACCTGAAAACAAACTACGAAAATATGTAAATAGTTGAAATATTTAAAAGATTATTTCCTCAGCCAATCTGAAAACCCCATAACCTGACATCACCCCCCTCCCCACTCCTCGAGCGTTCAGGGGCAACCCTAGTATTCATAGATACCAAGGATGAGAGTATTGAGAGAAAAAAGTTTTTTCAAAAAGTTCCAGGGGTTCAGATAACCCCTCCCAACTCAGTTACACACACTTTAAAATAAATACCTGTATTTCCTCCAAATTAAAATTCAAAACAGATTTAGCCCTCTCTATTTTCTCCAAATTAATTTTATCCAAATTTAGCATCTCCTCATTTATATTTAAAATTTTTTCTTTAATTTTTTGTTGTTTTTCTTTTGTAATAATTTTATTTATTTTTTTATCCTTTTGTTTTTTATTTTTATTTAATTCTTCCAAAATTCTTCTTTTTTTGTTAATTAATCTCAACTTTCGTTCTCGACAACGACAATTTTTATTTTTACATATTCTCCCATCATTTTTAGATAAATTTGTAGATTTTGGTCTAAAAATATTTTTTTTTAATTAAAAAATATACTTTTTAATCAAAAAATATTTTCTAAAATTATTATTTACCTAACAATTGATTTAGTAGAAAAATATGTCTGTTTCCGTTTCTTTTGTTGCATTCCTTTTAATTTTGTTTTTGTGAGATTTTTCATTTAATTAATTTTTTATGAAATAAAATGTAAAATAAAATATAAAATAACTCTAAAATAAAAAAGGAGAGTTAAAAGTTTAGCTATGAGCAAGGCATTGATTCTGGGAACCTTCTAGAAGTTATTGCTAGGCACTTTCGCTTAATTTGTACATAGACCAATAATAATTAAAAAGACAATCGACAATATGGAAGTTTGCCTCTCGTTTGTCGATTGTCTCCGTAATTGTTACTGGCCTCAGGTGATGTGCCGTCTGGGCTGTCGATTGCGGCTGCGGATTTTGAAATTAAAATCGCGGTTGCGGAAAATTTTTGGCTCTTGTCCAGTTCATATGTCCCATAAGATTTATGCGTCCCATGTAATGAATTGAAAAAAAGTTTTCCAATCTCGGTCTAGTTTCATTTTCCAATCTCGGTCTAGGTTCGACTGGTCCTCGGTCTCGGAGCCTCGGTTTCAATCCTCGCCAAGAACCTCGCCGAGGAACGAGGCGAAATATACACCCCTAAGAATGGACTTTTGTCCGATCCATATTGGGTACCCTATTGGATTTGAATATGATGTAGATTATTAATTTGGAATGATTTAGCAAATATCTAATAAAATTTAGCAAATTGAATTAAATTTTCGAAAGATTAAAATTTTTGAAAAACTTCGGTTATTTTCGGACCTGCATCAAATAAAGGCCTCGGACCTGCATCAAATTTGACCCTCGACCTTGATACTCGATTTTTCCGTCTCGATGATCCTCGGTCTAGGTTTTTTCGAAAAACCTAGACCTCGCGCAACCCTACTAATAATTTTGCATTTTTAATTTTTGAATATTTTTTCAATTCATTTCATGGGACGCATAAATTATCTTTGGGACTCATAAATTTTCATGGGACGCATAAATTTTTATGGGACTCATAAATTCTCATGGAACGCATGAACTGGACAAGAGCCAAATTTTTTCCACTTGCGGATCCTGGTTTTCACCTTCTATTTTAATATCCTAAGCGTTTTAAATGTTATTATTTTAACTTTAAATTAAATAAATTTAAAAAAATATTAATAAAAAAATATATTTATTTTATTAATTTTGTTTCAATTTATTAAATTGTATTTAATTAAAAGTTGTAACAAATGCGCGTACTTTTTATTTAACTTAATTGTTTTATGCCTGCTATATGTTTAAGGTTGTATTTTTGTTTTGAAAATATTAATTAAATATTTAACAACAGGTGGAAATTAGGAAACGGCTCCATGGAAACGTTTTTCTATATTTTTTAAAAATATATTTAAGTTATAATATTTAAATAAATATTTAAATATTTTTAAAAAAATAATAAAAAAAATTAATTAAAATTTATTTAAAAATTAAATGTCAATAGAGGAAATAAATAAAATTCAATTGACAAAAAGTGTACAGATGGGCTAGAAAAATTGATAGAAAATTGATTGATAAAATTCATTTCCGATTGGCATTGAAAATAGATTGGCATTGAAAAATTTTTTATTAAATTACAGGAAAAGGAAATAAAAATGGGAAAATATTTTATAATTTTTAAATAAATATTTTTATTAGTTAAAGTTTTTGTAATCAGACGACGTTAAATTTAGAGGATATCAGAATGGTCTTTTTGCTTTTAAACGGCACTTACTTCATTTTTGACAATTTTGCCCAATTTTTAGATTCCCCTAATGTTGCTATATTTTTCTTGGGTGAGGGGCAAAACGAGGACTTACCAAAACACGGACCATACCAAAGAATACGAACCATACCAAAACGCGTATCCCAATTAATCCCAAAAATCCCCCGATATATTTGCTAAACTTCATTACTACGTAATCATTCTAATCAGTCTATCTCTCCATGTTGAATTTTTGGAATTATTATTTCCGTGGATTTCCCCCACCGTTGAAGAGATCCCTTGGAACAAATATTGTTATATAATAAAAATTTGCTTTACCGATTTTAATACAAAATAACTTTAAAACTAATTTATCGTTTAAATAATGACAATCTACAAATTTAAATAAATAAATAATACTCAGTTTTAATCTCCAACAAAAAATTTTTAAACATTTTTCCAAAAAAATTTTTTTGCTCCAACCAGTTAAATAGTAGTTCTGGGAGATAACGGCGATTTGCTTTTAATAAATAAACGTTTGGTTTGTAATGCTTGGGGTTCCCGAGTTACTCGAGATGGTTTGCATTCATCTTCTGGGGGTGCAATTTCTGGATTAAATGATATTTGTTTGCCATTAGGTATTTTCATAGTACATTCATTTTTCATAAAGGCGATTAGATTTTCAGCACTCGGACGATCATTCGGATCAAAATAAAGACAAAGCTTAAATTTAAGTTTCGAAATAAAATTTTAAAAAATATTTTTGTCTTAAATTGTACTTTATTTTAATTATACTAGTTTATTAAATGAAAATAGTATTTAAATTATTTCTGGTATTAACTAACTTTGGGCCGGGAGCGGGCCAATTTACCGCCGAGATCTAACTTCGTTTAAAATTATCGAATCCGGGAACCCGTGGTATGGTTCGCTGCATCTCGACGAGTTAGTCTAACAATACATGCCGTCCCAGATTCAATAATTTTGACAAAAGTTATAGCTCGGCGGTACATTGGGCTCGCGGTACATCGGGGTGTACCTCTTCGGGCCAGATTTTGGCCACCGAAAAAGTCAATTTGTCGAGCATTAATTCAGATATGAGACAATCAGCCCGGTATTGCCCTTAGTGCCCAACTCTTTTAGTTTTCTTAGTTTTTAAAACCACATCCGTTTAAAATAAGATATGATCGAACTAAGAAAATTATAGGAAAATTTTACTAAATAAATCAAGGTTTCAATTAACAGAACAGTCTGTTTAGGCATACAACATTTATTACTAGATCAAAACTTACTCGAATAACGTTAAATAAAGGTTCCATTTTTTTATTTTTTAATTCTTTTTCTTTTACATCAACTTTTTCCATAATTTCTTGTTGTAATATATCTTTGTTGCCTTCAGAAGGTATTGCTTTTTCATCAAAAAGTTTTACATTATCATCATTCGAGACCAGTTTAAAAAGGATTACTCCCAATGCCCAAATATCTGTTCGTGTAGTGAACTTGAAATTTAAAAATTAAATAAAATAATCAGAAGGGAATATGTATGTATGGAATGTGATTTGTGATTTAGAGATTTGGAGATTCACTCAAATAATTACCCAGATGTAATGGTGTAATTATTTGAGCTTATTTTTGAAAAGCTAATTGTGACTATTTTTAAGTAAGTAATTATTATTTCAACCGCTGGCTGATAAAAATAATTAATAGGATGGGTTAATTATTTGATTAAATACAGTATTTCTCTAAAATTGTTTTAACAAAAAGAAATTCGACTCCAAAAACATTAAAATTCTTAAAAATCACCATATATCCTCTAATTCCTGTATTCATTTTATGTTCAGGACTTCTATACCCAATATCGCTATCAAGGGCTAATGATTTAAAGCGATAAGTTTTTCCTCCTTGAAGTAACATTGAACTACCAAAATCTATTAATTTTAAATGTTCATTTCCTTCTCCATTGTCTTTTACAAACATAAAATTATCTAATTTTAAGTCTAAATGGATTGCATCTAAAATTAAAAGAAAATTTTTTATTTTTAATTATAAAATATTGCCTTGATGGAATTGATTCAAAACAATCAACATATCACTAAGCATTTTTGTAATAATCGAAGGATGTTCATCAACACTTAATTATATATCCAATAATTAATTAAATTAATTATTTAATAATAAACTTATTCTTCTGTCCTTCCCAATATTTTTCAAGGCTTCTCTCTGCAAGTTCTAAAACCAACTTTGGTTGGTTTTCATGCTCAGTATCACTTTAAAAAATTTTTTTTTAATTTTACAAAATAAAACTAGACTGGTGGATATAAGCGAATAATTTAAGGGAGATCACTGCGATACGGGATCAGTGATGTCAAAGTTCCAGTTCCGGAACTAGAACTACGGAACTAGTAAATGCCTGGAACTAGCTTGGAACTAGTTCCAGACTGGAACTTGAACTAAGGAATTTCAAAAATTGAGTTCCGGAACTGGAACTACAAAAATTAAAAATCTGGTTCTGGAACTGGAGCTAGTTCCAGAGAAATTTTGGAACTTTGACATCACTGCAGGGATCAATTGATTTACTTAATTACCTCGCAAACATTCTTAAAATGTAGCTCATTTTATCACCATACTGTTTATATTTTGAACTAAAATATTTCAAAACAAGTTCCTCATTTTTAAAAAGTTTTCTGTTAGTCTCTTTTTCATCTGGGTCCATTTTTGCCACTTTTAAAACCACACATTTTGATTTTAAGGGTAATTCTATTTTTTCGTTAGAAATGGTTGAAATCGGTGATTTTTCTGTGTAACTTTCTGAGTAACTTTCCGTATAACTTCCTTCATCTTCGCTATAAATTGATGTTTTTCCTTTATCAAGAATTACTTCTTCTTCACTCGATTCGATTTGAATAACCTCAGGATCTTTATAATAATAGGCATGATAAATCTGAATAAAACAGTATTAAATATATTCAAAACACAATTATTAACAAATAGGGTCTTCAAAATTCAATTTTAATACTGTATCCTTCATTGCGGATACAGTACGTAAATCGCGCGTCTTTGTCGAATTTTGTTTAAATTTTTGCGAACTTAACGAATAAGACGCAGCAATGCCCTCCAAAAATATCAAAATCCCCCCTCTTCCAGATATCAAAATTAAACATTTTATCTCGAAAAAATCATTCGATATCTCAGAAATCATCTTGCTGAACAGTTATCAGATATTTAATTACCTTTGAAGTTCCTCCCTGAGATAACTCCCCTTCATTCTCGTTATGTTTACTTCTAAATACAAATAAAGGCATTCCATCTATAATTTTTGGAATAGCGTGCTTCAAATTTTGTTTTCTATGACAATCACATCCTTAAAATTTTAAATATTGTTTGAAATGTTAGACGCAAAAATTTTATTTTTTTAAATTTATTTTTAAAACCAACAAAATCCTCTTTTTGTATTATTCGGATACAAAAATCAGGACAGAAATTTTCCCAATACGAGGATGCATAGGCATACATAAGTTTGAGGATATCCGGAAATTTTCGGTTTGGATCTTTCGGTTTTCGGTTAGGATCTTCTTCTTCTTGGTACCCCAAAATTCTCAGAATTTTCCTTTGCGCCGCTTAAAAAGAACTTTGTCTTTACAACTTAAAAGGAATGTTGAATGATTTTGTTTGATATCGAGCGATCGGATTTTTGCAAAATTTAATCTAAAATATTTAAATTTTTAAAATAAATACAAACTTTCTTCATTAAAAAATGTCTTTACTTTCCCAACAATTTCATTATTTTTTAAATTAAATATTTTTTTATTAAACTTTGAAATAAAAATTTCTGTAACTTTATGAATATTTAAACATTGTTGATTGCCCTCCTTTACCACCAAAATTGTTTTCAATTCCTCCTCCCTTTCTTCCTTTTCTTCATTCAAAAAATTTAATTTTAAAAATTTATCTTTCATTTCATCAACTTTATCACCACAAATTTGTATATTTTTAAAATTTGTTAATTTTTTCAACAAATTAAAATTTATATAAGCTAAAAATAAATAAATTTTTATTAGCAAAATTATTCATTTATTTTCACAGAATTGAGTGCAAAAATAGGAATAGTTTAAGGGCGAAACAGCCGATCTCCGACCAGAGTTGCGTCGTAATCGAATATTTTTTCCGGCCGCAACTTGTCTCCGACGATAAATTAAGAAAAATACCTTCTATATTTAACAGCCATTAAATCGTTTGAACTTATGTAACCATAAGTTTTTTTCTGTTTCTACATAATAACCACCATAAGTTCTAATAATCTTAAGAACTTATGGTTACATAAGTTCTTAAGATCGTTATAACTCATGGTGGTTATTATGTCTTGTTTAGCGGTATTCTACATGCTTAAAAATTTCTTAAATTTGTTTTCTTAAGGGCTCGGACGGTGTTTTTCCTAGCCTGATTGGGCTTCAGTCCAAAAAAATTCGTTTTCTTTGTTTTATTACCTCTATCATTTTCATTTACACCAAAAACAATTCGAATTCCTCTTTCCCACAGTTCGAATGCTAATAAGTCCAAAAATTTTCTTTTATTTTCTGCTTCCTCCATCTCTGCAAACTCAAGTATATATTGAAGTCCAACTTTTTCTGTTTCTACTTAAAATTTAAAAAATTCAAGAAAGAAAATATTTATAAGACTGGGTATCTCAAAAATATTTATTTTTAAAATTAAAATTCTAATTTTGCTGAAAAAATTTTTAGAGCTCCAACTTTTAATATTTAATAAGCCTTAAAAAAATCTTCCTTTTTCCCTTCAAAAAGTATCTAAACATTGTAAAGCATATGGCTATTTAATTCCTAAGGCTGTGCGTAGGCGGCGTGTTGTAATGGCTAACACATCAGTCCGGTCTACTGAAAATGCTGGTTCGCTCCTAGCCGCCGAATAACCTTTTGCACTAGCTAAAGGAGAGGAATGGCTATAGCCCAGCTGCTTTACTACATTTTTTGATCATTTTATTTCAAAATAGTTTTAAATACCTCCTCTCGGTAGATAAACACCACCACTAGTACTAGAACTTGCACCAGATGGTGATGAAGGTTTTGCTGGGGAATTTTTTCCTGTCGCTTGAATCAAAAATAATTGATAAAAATTCCAAAAAATTATAAAAATAAAATTTGAGGATATTTTAAGCATTTCTTTATTTATTTTTCAAAAATTAATTTAATAAAAGAATGAAAAATAATGGTAAAAATTGAAGAAAATAAATACAGACTTTTTAAATTTTTTTTTGTATTATTTAAATGTCTATAATAATTCAATGAAAATCGCTTCCTGTCGGCAAAAAAAATTTTTACAAAAAAAGTGCCGATTAAAGCAACTTCCGTAATAGACTTATTAAAATAGCAAAAAAACAAGACAGACAATTTCATTAATTAACGCCTGATATTATTTTTTTGCACTTTTATGCCTAGCTATTGACAAACATTTTTAGTGTTTATTAAAGTTGTAAATTGAGAAATTAATTAAGAAATTAATTTAAAGAGTTAATAAAATAATTTAATATAGAAATTGAATTTTAAATAAGTTTTGAAGTAATTTTCTGCCCTAAAACCCACTTCTCCGAAAAACATTTTTAATTCATGTTTTTCTGCTGATATAAGAATCTCCCCTCAGAAAAAACATTTACCTTCCCTGTTAAGACATTCTTTGGGATTCTAGAGGATTCTAAAGGAATACTTAATAATAAACGCTTGGAATGTTGGATTGAAAGATTCTAGAAAATTTTTGGGAATCCGGAAAAGAATCCGTGCTTTAAACTGATTGAAAGAGTCAATCTTTTCGAAAAAGAAAAAATTTAAGTGTTTCTATAAAAAGTAGTAAATTTAAATTTAAAAATTATAAAACTTTTATTTTAAATTATAAAACTTTTTTTTAAATTTTTAAAAAATTTAATTAATAATTGACAATCAATTATGTATAATAAGTCTTTTCTATCGCCAAAAATCTCCCCCTCTATTTTACAATTACTCCCTCCACCCAACCACTACCTCCCCCTCGCCAGACAATTGCACTCTTGTGGCATTGTATAGAGTGCGAGGGATACTTTATTAAATTTAATTTAAATGCCACTCGACAATTTAACTCGTGAATTTTAAAAAGTAAAATGGTGATGGAGTTCTGCTTTACATATTTTAAAAACGGCAGACGGTCCGGGAAGCGAGAGTGTTAGAAAGTCGGAACCGGGACTGGGCTGTCTAGAATGATAGAATTTTACAATAATAACTCTAAAAATTTCTGATTTTTTGAGTTAGTATATCATAAGTTATGGCAAGAAATTTTGATTCTCTGAAAAATGCCTAATTTTTCGAGGTTTATTGACTATACAGAAAAGCAAAAATCTGAACACCAAGGTCAATTAAAAGATATTCGTAATTAAAAGATCATTCTTTTACTAGAAAACTTTAAAGACATTTTCAAAGCATTCAAGCTGCTTGGGGAAAAAATTTTAAAAAATTGTTAAACAAAGGAACATATTTGTATTAAACGATTGATGGTTTAAGGTTTTTAACTTTACTAAATATTCTATTTTTGTAAGCATAAGGGAATTTTTTTTAATCCAATCAAGTGTTGAACGAGAAATCTTTCAGATGTGGACTAATCTAACATTCAAAGACCGATATCACAGCTCAAGAACAAGATAATCGTTTTGTTTTGACGCCATTCGAATAAGCTTATCCGAATGTTATAAGCTTCTCACATATCAAACGACTTTTGGCCCAAAAATTTTTCCAAAATTTCAAGAAAACTATTTTGTATCAAAAATTTGCTTAGAGTATCGGAAATGAAATAAAAAAAAAGAATTAGCAATTTTCATCAACGTTGAAGAAAGTTATGGCAAAAACAAAAGTGGCGGAAAATGCCGCATCCTGTAGTACATATAATTTTAAATTTTCAACTAAATTTATCAAATAAATTAAAATCTGAGTATTATTTTCCAA